CTAAAAAATATCTGTCAGTTGATTGTGATTGACATGGAGTGCATACAGACTATTAACACAGCATCTCTAGCATTCCATGGTTGAGTAAAGCAGAATATTTTGAAAGGATGGATGTAGACTACTGCAATGGTTAATTTTGCTTGTCAGCTTGTTTGAATTATGAAACACCCATGAGATTAGCACAGCCCAGCTCTACATATGTCTGTGAGGATGGAGGCTGTTTCTGGTGACAGTTAGATTATGAGGGCTCTGATCTAATCAATGGATTAGTCCCTTGATGGATTTATAATATAATGGCTTTACTAGGGGGTGGTGAAAGGCAAGGGATGGGGCTGAGTTGGAGGAAGCAGGTGACTAGGAGTGTGTCCTTGTATCTTGCTCTGGTGCCTTCCTGTTTTCCTCCTCTGTCTGCTGTCTGTCCACCATGACATGAAAACCTACTCCTCTCTACTCCCACCATCATGATTCTTCATTACGATCAAGAGCACAGGGGCAAGCAACAATGGACTGAGCTCTGAAATTGTGAACCCAAATCAATCTTTGCTCCTTTAGGTTATTCCTGTTGATATTCTGGTCACAGCTACACCAAAATAACTAGCACAGCAATATTAGGAAATGCTGGAAAAGTTAGAAAAAAAAGTAAAGTGAAAAATGTAAAACAAAAGAAAGATAAAGTAGGGGAAATGTAGTAACTAGAAAAAAACTAGAGATAGAAAGAGGCTTAGATGTTTTCCCATCCTGAGGCTTCATTTCATAGATGAGAAAACTGAGGTTAGCAATCAGGTCCGAAGCAGGTCAAATAGGAGGTTAAAAATGGAGTGGGGGCTCAGCAGAAATCATGTCAATTGTGGACAAATTTGAAATTGGAGAAAAAAGAAGATGTAGCCCAGACTGGCCTCAAACGGGAGATCTTCCTGCCTCAGCTTCCTGAATACTGGGATTATAAGCACGTAGCACTCTGCTAAATACATGTATTAAGAAAAGAAGTCTGAGCCAGGGACACAGAAGGGAAGGAGGAAGGGAAAACAATGAGGAACATAGGAACAATTCAAACAGACGAGCAGGCGCAGCCCAATTTAAACAGGAAGTGGAGGTCGGCCTGGCAAGAATAACAGAAAGGCAACTTGAGATCTGAGGAAAGTCTGTTAGCTTCGCAGTGTGTAATAACATGTTTGGATGTGGAACTGTGGGAATATAACTACATCCCAAAGTGTCAAGGAGACATCAGCAAAGACAGAAAGAAAACAACCTGGAATACTCAGCATTCCTTAGACAAAGTGATACGTATCATAGCCCAAATATAAGTGGATTGGAAATGAGCTCCTTCAGCCACTAGCTATAGAAACTCAAGGAACTTACTCAATCTTCCTGAGCCCCAAAGCCTCATCTTTACAACAGAAATGGTCACATGCATCAGATAGGGATGTTGTGAAAATAAATGAGAGGGAACATGATACATATCTGGCTCACAGGAGGAACTCAGGTGGAGTTAGGTCTGTGTCAAGTGACTCAGGCCTTAGTTAAAGATGCATTTCATTAGCAATCCAGAGGCTATGATTGGATATCACAGACTTCCCCACCTCTAGCAACCTGTCACTAAAGAGAGAAAATGAAAACAAAGGTCAGAGAGGCTGCAGGGAATGAGGGAAAAAGTTCTCAGGCTCACAATCTCTGATTCTTGCACATTGAGAAAGCTGCCTGGCTCAACATGGAACCTCTGTTTAGATGAGCCTTAAAGGGCCAGTACCCTCCCTATCATCTCAACTAATCACCCCACACCTGCCCCACAACACCAGCCAAAACATGTCCAAATGCCAAGCTGCACCACATCTTGCAAATAGAAAAAGTGGAGGGATAAAATTCTATGTGTGAGCTGCCTAACTTACCTCATTAGACTGAACACAGATGACTGCAGCAGAGCACTGCCAAGTGGGGAGACTTAGTTTACTCCTCCTGAAATACCAAATGGTGACCTCTTCTCGTGTCACCTTCTTTCCAAGCTTCAACTCTCATTGTCATAATGTGTTCATTTGGGTTTTTATTATGTGAATTGTACCTTTCAAAAAGATTCCCGAGTGCAAATTCTTTATAAAATCCATCTTTTGCATTCACCAATATGGATGTGGTAAACAAGTAGATTTTACCCTCAAATTCGTATCTTCTTTGTTTCCCGATATATTTCAAGTCCGAGTATATTTAATTTTTTAAAATAAAACATAGACTCATGTTTGCAAAGTGAATAGTTTTTCAATTCCTTTCAGTTAATTGCTTTGTGTTTCTTGAATGTCAGCTCAGAATGCCATCCTTCCAGTAAGTAAATGAATTAGAAAAAAAAAACCAAAACCCTCAAAAATACAGTAGTACACAGAGTTTGGTTGTGGGTGATGCAGTGGTCCCCGGCAACGTGGTCCTCAGCACTCACCTTGCCCTTGTACCAAATGCTTTCATTTCCCTCTGGATCCACATCTTCTGTTGCCAAGGTGAGGCAGACCAGTCTCCGTTTCAGCCCCTTAGCTTTAATCTGTTTCAGTGCTTGCTTTCCTATGAAGTCTGCTGGCTGCAGGAATCCAAGATAATGATGATGAATGAGTACTCAGATGCCATGACAAGGTTAGAGATGCAAGCATTTAAATTTGTCTTTGCTATTTTCTCACCAATTACACATTAAATAAAAATACAGATTGGATCAAATGTCTAGACAAATATTTCTTAGTCCCCCAAATGACAGTATCGGCCACCTATTCCTTCCAAATATGTTAGACTTAATGCAATAACTTGAGATGACAACTTTACCAGAACCACCTAAGTAGGAAAAGAAATAAGGCATTGTACTGAGATGGTAGGTTATGAAAGTGACCCTTGGATCAGGACAGTGCTATCAGCTGTCTACAGAAAGTATGACTCAATTTCTACCCACTGGAAGCTTTTTAAAAGGAATATATTTTTTGACATGTGATGCCAAAAGAACCTTCAAATGTTGTAGTCTCTGCTCCTTCAAAGCAATGTTCTGTGGAACACATCAACCTATTGGACTGCTTGTGTCAGTTCATTCTAGAAACATTTGTGGAACTGGACAAATTTGTGGCTGCCTCTGTGTGGGGCATCATGCTGGGCCCCATGGGGGCCCAAACAAGTCAGATGAGGGGCATTTGGAACAAAAGGCTTATTTTTGACTACAGCTCTTCAAGTTTTGTTCCTCCTTCCATGCAACACATGACAGATGACACCTTTACTCCTAATCCACTTCTATGGGCACACTCAGGGTGGCTCCCAATACCATATAGGTGAGTGACATGGTTATGGAGATAACCTCAAACCCATTCTTACATGAAGCTAAGATGAGTCAGGCCAACTTGAAGACTTTCCCATTATTTGCAATCCACCTCAAAATTGAGCTGAATACACAAGTGAGCAATGACTCCTCAGTGGGGACTCGGAGCTAATAAGGAAGCTACAACCCTGCCCAACCAGAATACCAGGGGACCCTGGAGAAGTGAGACAAACTCTTCAGAAGCTAAGAGCAAGGACAGTACCCAGGACGGTGGAGTGCCCTTCAGGTGGGAAGATAAGCCTATGAGCACATCTTATGGGGTGCAAAGGGAATTTGATACACAAAGCATATTTCTACTGAGTGAGATTAAAGACTGTAATAAAAACAAACATCTGCAAACAGTTCTCACAGAGATTATACAAAAAAAGATTTCAATTTCTCCATTAGCCAGAAAGGAAACAGTATTTCATGCCAAAGATGTCCTCCAAGTAACCTCCAGGTGAGGCTATAAGAAGCCCAAACAAGCACGTGGATGGGGTGAGAAAGGAATTTAATATATAAAGCATATCTCTACAGAGTGAGATTAGCGATTACAATAAAAACAAAAGTCTCAAAGCAGTTCTCACAGACAGACTGTACTCCAAAAAAGGAGCCCAAAGAAAGACTCACGCTTCAGTTTCTCCATTAGGCGGAAGGGAAACAATATCTCATGTTCTCCACGACCAACATTGAGGATTTATATAGCAGTTTCTGCACATGACACATTTAGGGTTTCATTCAGTAAACCCTATGACCTCTCAGAAAAAAAAAAAAAAAAAACAAGTGTCACCCTCCACCTGATGCCCCACGGCACTCCTTCCCTGATTTAGAGCTTCCAGAATGTACCCATAGCACAGTATGATTCCTATAGAGACTGCAAATTAAAATGACTGCTTTGTGCAGGTCATTAAAGAAAAATTTTGCTAATCAAGGTTAAGATACCATTCAAAATGAAAGTCTAATTTGCTCTCCTTCCCCAGTGTGACCAACTATATTGCTTTATTAGGAACCCAGAGCACAAAACATAAAGAAGACTGGAATATGTGATATTTACTATAGGACTAGGGGAGATCACAGAAAAAATTTATTTGGATTCATAGATCAATTTATGATTTTAAAAACATTTTATAAGCAAATTAAGTGTACAGTCTTAAAAGTCTTCTTATTATGGGCCAGAGAGATTTGCTGCCAAGCCTGGTGAGGAGTTTGAGCCCCAGAACCCACATGATGGAACGAAGAGAACTGACTCCTACAAGTTGTCCTCTGATTGCCACACATGCCACAACACGTGTGTGCCCACACACATACAGATATACATGTGCACACACATATAAATCAATAAAAGTAAAAAAAAAAAAAAGGTGTACTTTTTTTTGGTTGTTGTTTTTATACAGGGGCTCTCTGAAGCTCCAGCCTGCCTGGGACTAACTATGTAGACCAGGCTGGCCTCAGTCTCACAGAGACCCACATGCCTCTGCCTCCTGAGTGCTGGGATTAAAGGTGTGTGCCACCATGCCCAGTTTAAGTCTTTCAATTTTAAAATCAATAACATTAGAAAATGTCAATAGTATAAAATAAGCAAAAAGTGCTCCATGGTATCAGCTAGACACATCCCTTGTCAGCATTTTAATACATTTATTTCAGTGTTTTCTGTGTGATGATATTGTCAGCTTGCCAGGATCTAGAACCACCTAGTCTCAAAGCAAGACTGTGAAGGATTATCTAGATTAGGCTGATGGGTGAGAAGATCCACCATACCCATGGGCAACACCATTCCATGGGTGGGGCCCTAGAGAAGGAGAATGCTAGCTAGCACAAGTATCCATGTCCCTCCGCTTCTTTAAAAAAAATTTTTTTTTGTTAATTTATTTGGTGGGGAAAGGGTGGATGAGTGCACCACAGGGTGCTTGCGGAAGCCAAAGGACAATGTGAGGGAATCAGTTCCCTTCCTCTACTTCCTCTTCTTTCCAGGATCAAACTCAGGTCATTAGGTTTGGGAACACGTGGCTTTAACTGCTGAGCTATTTCTTTGGTCTTCCCTACACCTGTTGGGTCAGAAGGCCATGTGACCAGCCGCCTCTGGCTCCTAATACCATGCCTTCTCCACTGTGACAGACTGTGCCCCCAAACTGTGAGCCCAGTAAACCCTTCTTTCATTAAGCTGCTTTTGCCAGGATATTTTTGTCACAATAGGAAAAGTACCACACTCGGTGTAGTTAGATTCTGCATATTTTAAATTTTAGTCTTTTTGAGACAGGATCTCCCTGTAGCTCCAACTGGCCTGGACTTTGCTGTGTAGACCAGGCTGTCCTTGAACTTACATGGATCCATCCACCTCTGCCTCCGGAAAGGCATGTGCCACCATACCCAGCAGCAGTACCAGTTTGAAATATGTATTCTACTAGACTGTAATCATCACTGATGTATCTTTTTTGGGGGATGGGGGGGGGCAGTTTATTTTAGCTTAAAAGTTGAAGTTCACCCTTGAGGGAGCCAAGGCAGGAACTCAACGAAGGAGGCTGAGGTAGGAGTTGAAGCAGAGACCACAGAGGAATGCTGCTTATTGGCTTGCTCAGCTACCTTCCTCATACAACTGATGTATCTTAAATTTAAAATGAAGAGCACCTAATGTGTGGAGGCAGCTTGCGAGCAGGTTGATGGAGGTATGCTCAGCGGAGGCCCGAGAGGAGAATGACCCATTCCACCTGGGGTAAGAAATCCAGGCTGAGGCAGCATTCTGGTAGCAAACCATTTCATAGCAGACTAAGGTTACTGGAGTGGAGTTTTGAAAGATGAGTAAATTCCATTCTAACTTTGGCTCCCATAGCTTTTCTAGAAGATCTTTCACTTACATTATGATTTGATCTTGACAACAACCTGAAGACGATGGATTTAGGGTCTAAAAGAAGTGAGTATAAGTCATGAGCAAACTGATTAAGAACTAAGCCCTCAGACGACCCAGCCCTGTTCTATCCCGCTACTTTGAGCCTCCTTCACTGAAGCACTGAAGTTAACACCTCCTACATCTCCAGAGAAGTGATAGGGCCTGACAGGACCAAGGTTTCAGAACCAAGGCCTTGGGAGTGCTAAATGAGAGCCACAGGGGTGGGCTCCAGGATAGGCACGGGAAGCTGGAAGCCAGCTAAACCCTGCCTTTGCCAAATCCACAATTGTACCAAAGGCTGAGGAGCATCAGGTGTCAGCTGACTATGAGACAAGACAGAAGAGGGCCGAAAACTTTCTTTGAAAAAAAAATTGACGAAACGATAGAAACCAGCTAGGTAGTTTGGGGGCAGTGACCCTGAAAGCAACAGTTGCAGGAACGCCCTTGGTTCTCCAACAAGGTTCGCCAGAGTCAGAAGGTAGCTCTGGTGTGTTCTACTAGACTGTAATCATCACTGATGTATCCTCTTAAATGAGCACCGTGGTCTGGAGGCTATAGGTGAGGGTAGGACTGAAACTCCAATCCAGACATTGCTCCCTTCTGGTGAACAACTTTAAAATTAGATCACTAGGTTTTCATGGTTAAAATGGAGTTAAATCTGTACCGCAATTTCAACATATCTAAATGAATGATGTGGGTGCTGAAGACCAAACTTGGGTCCTCTGCAAGAAAAATAAACAAATTTAACCACTGAGCTATCTCTGCAGCTCCTCCTAAACGATTTTATGGGAGAATGTTGTAGTGGCCTTGATCAGGGCTCTGTGGAGACCCATGAAGGGAAAACTATTTCTTTGGTGTGGGTAGAGATGTAACACTACAAGTCACCCAAAACAGAAGAACTGATCCAGTCGGGCTGGCCAATCAATCACTTAGCTGAGGCTGATTCAACTTAAGCCATGCTAAAGTGATGGGGGAATAATTATCCCTTTAATGAGATAATGTACTTTTCCTTCCCAGAAAACCTGTCCTGGTGAAGTCATTAATGAAACTGAAGTCATGGGTCTGGGCTAAGCCTGGGCCACTTTTAAGAATGACTCAGAAAAGTGTAACTCTTTTGTTTTCTTCTTTTTAATCTCTTTTTGATGCTTTCGGATACTTGACAAAGCTTGGGCATGCCCTCTGGACACTCTGGGCTGTCTCACTATTTCTATGACATTATCTCCCCAAACCCCTTACCTCCTGCTTCCAAAGCATGACTGTTTACAAAGGGCTTGGCTTTTTCCCTTACTCTTCTGTCTCCCTAGGTGCAGCTAGTGAAATTTATGACTTGCCTGACCTGCAGTTTTTCTTTTAAACTTTAATA